AGAAACTGCACCTGGTGAATGTCAGGCTCAACGTGTGTCAAGTTGGCGCCATAGAGGTTCCATCCTTTTGTCGGTCCCCATTCTGCAATCAACGTATTTTGTGTAGTATCCTCAGCATTCGGCATATACCACATATATGCCATTGGCGGACCCGTCTCACCTCGAAGAATAGCCGTCGCATTGCCCTTGATATCAGAAAATAGTGCTTGAAGCCTCCCTACCGCCCCACATGTTCTATCTTCCATGGCTGGCATTCAACTTGAAATCGCACGTTGGGAGGCAATGAAGTGAGTCCCCGCCTATAGTCATTCTCCCACACACGTTTCGCTTCCCATAGGATCTCAGAGGATGTACCTGGTTTGAAATAGATCCTGCCCCTCGTGCACGGCCAATATCTAACAATATTCTCCTGAACCGTCCGATCCAAGTCCAGTGCCACCCTCTGTGTAGCATCAATTTGTTCAGAGTCAATAAGACCATTCATCGCCGTCGTCAGTGCCTCCTGTGAAAGAGCCTCCCGCTGACGTATCTCACGGTTCCTCCATCCCTCCCTTGAAACCCATCCCTTGAACTCAACAGAACGTGGATTCCAAGCTGGATCGTGCCTGTCCGTACCCGCCTTCGTGGATCCACTTGCTACCGACAGCCCGTCCCCCCGGTTGAGCTTCTGAACTTCATTGGTGAAGTCCTGGATCGCCGACTCTGTTTTCGAGACCCTGGAATCCACATGTTTTCAGACCGTCCATTTCCGTACGAATAGAGTTCCTAAACGATTGCATGTCTGCCGTCATAGTCTGTTGTCCCGTCATGATAGATCGAAACATCTGTGCAATGTCAAGTCCAGCTTCCTGGGCAACCTCATTCGCACCCAATGTTTGTCCCGCACCTCCTCCTTCTCCTTTCCCTCCTCCTTTGACATTACGAGCACGGACAGCTCTAGCAAACGCCCCACCCCCATCATGAATTGTCATGTCCTGGCCCGTCGCATGGAAGCCTGGAGCACCTGAAACTGAAGAACCTGCTGGCATCGCTGGTGCAGCACCTGAAACTGAAGAACCTGCTGCAGCCATCTTTCTTTTGTGGCTGCGTAAGATATTGAAATCGCAACCTTCACCCTGCACGAAGTGGTTACGCAAGATATTGAAATCGTAACCTTCACCCTGCACAAACGGCACTGTTGGTGTGAGCGATGGCACACAAATAACAGCTCTCCTGTCACTACGAGGTGCCCCCACCTGCCTGGCTAGATAGTCCCAGTCAGCGTGACTGAAGTCGGATCCCCAGCACTCCGTCTTTCCAAGTGAGAGGAAAAGAGTCAATTACAGCAGTAACAATAACAATAACAAGTGCAGGCGGCCTAGCACACAAAATAACAATAACAAGTGCAGCGGCCTAGCTGACCTCGATCTCGCTGAACCCGAAGAAGACGATGAAGGCAGCGATGGCTGCCGCGCCGCCGTCCCGCGGCGACGCGCCCCCCCCCGCACGCTAGACGCCTGTGGGATCCAGACGCCTTGATCCAGACGCCTTGAGCCAAAATGGCTACGGAGAGCAAAGAGGCAACTCTGGAGAGGTTTCCTGACGAGCTCTGGGACGCTCTCCTGACGCGCTTCTCAAGCGCTGCCAGGCACGCTTCCACGCGTGCCTGCACGCGTGGACGCGTGCCGGAACCGCTCCCGGACAAGCTGCCGGTTCAAACAGGCCCCTGCGGGGGTTCTGGACCGGCGATGATGGGCTGCTGGCAGGCACCACCACCGTCCGGCTTCTAATCTTAAACCCTATAGCTCTCAGAGAGCTCTCTGGGAAAATCCCGGAGAGCAGAGAGGCAACTCTGAAAAGTTGTTCTGGCGAGCTCTGGGAAGTTCTCCTGAAGCGCTTGTCAAGCACTGCCAGGCACGCTTCCATGCGGGCCTGCACGCGCGCAGGCACGCGTGGACGCTTGTCGGAACCGCTTCCCGACCCGCTGCCGGCGCAAACTGGGAACCGGCAGTAAACCGTCAACCAGGTTACCGCTGGGGACCTCGGAACACATACCCACTGGTCTTTAGGATCTGTTTTTAAAATCCTGCATGTAAGTGTCGATCAGGATCTATTGTTTCTTGAAAAAATCTTACAAACAAAAATAGGTTATGTTTAAACCGCGTTTTAAACATCGATCCAACTTGAAACATAGACAGCGTGAAAAAAGCAGGAGGAAGAGAGAAGAGGAGGAGGAGGAAGAGGGAAGGAGGAAGAGGAGGAATGAGGAGGAGGAAGAGGGAAGAGGAGGAAGACGACGAGGAAAAAAAAAGAAATTGATAACCGTATGCTAGGCTGCGATGCTATGCTATGCGTTGTTGGTTATGATAAGTGTGCTATGCTATGCGGTGCGACGCAACGCCATGCATTGTTTATGTTTTACTACGCGGGCGGGCGCACAGTTCCACGGCTTTGGGTTACGATCCTAACTCTCACTGCCCAGTGAAGGCGAGCAAAATCTATACATGGTTCGCGACGTGTGCACGGTCACCGTTAGTTTTCTTCTTATATAAAATCGCATGCAAAAACAATTATACGATGTGCACACGCACATACATACATATATATATATATATATATATACATACATACATATATAAACATATATGAATATACATATATGTGCACACGCGCAAAGGATGGGGGGCAATTCGGGTTCAATACGGGTCCAAGACGGCCCCAATACGGTTCCAAGACGGTTCCAAGACGGCCCACACCAATATTGCCCCAATCTTAAGGTTCTAAGACAGCCCGTCGAAGGCCCTAGCAGGGTCTCTCGAGGTTCCCTCCCTCCCTCCTCCTAGGAGCCCCCCTCCCTCCTCATCGTCCTAAGGTTTTCTGGCGTCGGTGATGGCGCCAGCCGCGCGTCGGCGCTGGTGCCGGCGCACGCGCTCAGCCTTTGCTGGCGTCGGCGCTAGCGGGCGCAGGCGCTCAGTTGTAGAGCACGGGCCAGTTGCACATGACACAGTCGCCGCCGCGCGAGCCAACGACCTGGTTGAGCCCGCAATGCGAGCACGTCGCCCAGGTAGTCTTCAGCGCCCCCTTATCCTTCTTCGCCACGCGCTCGAAGATGTCGCTGATGAGCTCCTCGTCGCTGGCGTACTCCCACTTGACCTCGCCCTCGTCCGAGCCGCCCGTGCTGTCCGAGCTGTAGTCGCCCTTGCCGCCCAAGCCGTAGTCGCCCAGCTCGTCATAGGGGCCGTTCTTTAACTGCAGGGCCACCTGGAGGAGGACGTCCAAGTCGCTGAACCCACCATCGTAGTGGATGACGTGCTGCCTGGGACCATCGTATGGCATGAGGCTGTCGGCGCCGTTGCCCTTCGAGTCGTCGCCCCCCTTGGAGTTGTCGCCCGTCTTGGAGCTGTCGTCATTCGGCGCGCCGTCGCCCCCGCCGCCCTTGGAGTCGTCGCCCGCTTTGGAGCTGTCGTGATTCGGCGCGCCGCCGTCCTTGCCGCCCTTGGAGCCCGCGTCACCGCCCTCGTCGTCCTTCGGGCTGTGGGCCTCGAGCAATTTGACTTTCCCCTCGAGCGTCTCGACTCGGGCCGTCAGCTCGCGCACGGTCTTGAACAGGTCGCTCTTGCTTGTCACCAGGGTGCTCATCAGGGCTGTCACAAGGGCCTTCGCCAGCTCTCTGTTGGTGACCAGGGCTGGCACAATTGCGTCCGTCAGTTGCCCGCTGGTCTGCATGGCCTGCGTCAAGGCCTTCGTCGCTTCGTCCAGCGCCGCCCGCATCGAGCTGTCTGGGAGACGCGCGGCGCTGTTCGCCTGCTCCGCGCTGGCCCCCTCACGCCTGCGCGGCGACCGGCTGCGGTGCTCGCCATCGTCGGAGCACGGCGGAGGGGGGCATGGCGGCGTGCCTGGCGGAGGGGGGCATGGCGGCGTGCCTGGCGCGGTCGCCATCGTCGGACATGGCGTCGGCGCAGGATATTTGATCCAGAAATGCCCTGGACAAGTTCTGGAACGTTTGTTCTCGTGCGTCCAGATTGGAACCCGAACAGCGTTCATTCGCATATAATTATACACTGCGTGGTGCAATATACGTGCTGCAATCTAGATGCGTTTGCGTTGCGCGCTCCGCGTCACTCGTTGAGACACATGCTACACTTAACGTCATTGCAACCGTGATCTGCGAAGCGACGTCGGCGACGACGGGCGACTCCGCTCCGACTTGCATCAGCACGCGCCCCGCGCGGGCGCATGTGGATGCCGACTGGGGCGGAACCGCCCGTCATCGCCCGCGTCATCGCAGATGACGGGTGCGATGACGCCTCAGATAATGGGCTCCACGAGATCCCTCTCGCAGAGGAGGGGGACGAGGCAAGATGAGGGGGATGAGGAGGAGGAGGAGGAGGAGGAGGGCGGCGAAGAGGAGGAAGAGGAGGAGGAGGAGGAGGAGGAGGAGGAGGAGGAGGAGGAGGAGGAGGGGGGGGGGCGGTTTCTCCAGCGCGCTGCGCGCGGCGACGGGTTAACCGCGCGCGAGGCGATTGGTTGCGAGAGATCCTCGTCGTCGTCGTCGTCGTCGTCGACGTCGACGTCGTCGTCCTCCTCCCCCTCCCCCTCCTCCTCCTTCTCCTGCACCTCCTCCTCGTCTCTCTCCTCCTCCTCCTCCTCCTCCTCCTCCTCCTCCTCCTCCTCCTCCTCCTCCTCCTCCTCCTCCTCCTCCTCCTCCTCCTCATCCTCATCCTCATCCTCATCCTCATCCTCATCCTGATCCTCCTCCTCCTCCGATGCTTCTCCGCCCTCCCACGTTACGTTACTGCGTGCGCGATGCACGTGCCACCCCCCACACACACACACACACACACACACACACACACACACACACACACACACACACACACACACACACACACACACACACACACACCACCCCCAAAGGGCAACGAAAAACAGACGGCGCCTCCAGCGATCGGCTGGTGCGCAAAAAACCTAGCTAGTCAAGCTGGTCCAGCGGGGGAAAAGCGCAGGCTCCGTAGGCCCCGCTACTGTGGGCCGTCAACATCATCGCCCTCGGCGTCCGCCATCCTCCAGCCACCATCCAAGGAGTCGGGCGAGACGTGATCGGGGTACTCGAACATGGGCTCAGCATCAGTGTCGATGATTGCGTAGTACCAAGAGTTCTTCCACACGATGTCGTTGCCCCTCAAGGGCAGGCCCTTGGCGCATCCCGCGCTGTTGCGGTGGATGCGCACCCCGTTGGTGAGCTTCTTCCCATTCGGCAAGGCCAGCTGCGAGACTATGCACTTCTTCAGGAGGAGAACCCGCACTCCACCGCTGTCGTGCACAACCGCAGGATTCGGAACCTTGATGGGCTCGCACTCGCCCGTGTCCTGAATCTTCACGGTGAAGGCCAGGAAAGGGTCGACGTCCACGCCAGAGGACATAGTGGATGCCCCCCGCGATGAAGGTTGGTGGTCGGTCGCCATCTTCGAGCTCGAGGCGATAATGCCCTTCGTGCCAGCATGTACGACGTACTCGTCCCATAGTTCGTGCTTTGCCGTAGTGAAGTCCGCAGAGGATTCGTACTTGTAGATCTCGTCTTTGTCAGCGTAGATCGAATAGTTCTGCTGGATGCTCTCCTTGATCTTCTTCACCTCGACGCCGTTCGGCCACGACGTGTTCGTCCCAGTCTGCGCCAACACTGGCCCTGTAGTGGCCAGCTCCTTGAAGTAGATCTGGAACTTGCTCAGGGGGCCAGTCGTGTCCGATGGCACCACCGCGAAGTATTGACCCGCATTCGCCATCGCGTCGGGTGAAAGCGGTGGGCACGGCGTCGGGAGCGGCGTCGAAGGTGTGCGACTTGAGCCAAAATGCTATTCAACGATGTCTGTTCCAGCGTGGACCCCAACCAGCGCGTAGACCCCAAGCAGCGTGGGCCCCGAACAGCGCGATAGCAGCGTAGACCCCAAACAGTTCGTGGGCACCTGGGCAGTGTGGACCCCAAACGGTGCCTCGACCCTAAATAGCGCGGGCACCACCCAGCGTGGTTCCAGCGTGGACTCCAAACAGTGCGCACACCCCCAACCAGTACAGCATTGACCCCAAACAGCGTGGGCAATGTGCTAGTTTGTGATGTAATATATGCGGTGCAATATATGCGCTTGTTTTTCGCGCCAACGGGCGATCTATATGTGGTGCAATCTATGCGCTTGTAATATATGTGGTGCGATCGATGCGTTTGTTGATCGCCGAGAAAAGCGCTGGCGACAACGGGCGACAACTTGCATTGACCCACGCCCCGCGCGGGCGCGCGGTGGACGACGGTTGACACGGCGCCGCCCGTCATCGCCCCCGCCATCGCGGATGGCGGGTGCGATGACGCACCAGTGAACGGCAGCGGGGGGACGATGAGGAGGATAAGGACTCTAGCCAAGCGCGAAACGGCGAGCTGTCAGTTGTGTTTACACACATCCAGGCCAGCGCGGACATTGAATTACGCACGGCGGGCCGCATTAGCAGCCCGCTGAGACAAACCTGCACAAACGCGGCGCGCTCTCGGCCTCCCCCCACTCTGCATCTCCGGAACCCACCCACTCCTCCACCGCGCACACGTGGCCGCCGTCGAGCCACAGCAGAGCACCAGCGCAGAAGCCCGCCGCGTCCCCCGCCCACGCCACACGCCTTCCTTCCTGCGCTTCGAACGCTTCCGCAGATTCCGCAGAGAACACGCGCAAGTGCAGGAAGCGGGAGCGCAAGTGCTGGACCACGACCTCCAGATTCCAGCGCTGCAACAGCGACCCGCAAGCGCCCTCGTGGTTCTTACACGCGCGACCGAAATGCCTCGCGGCGTCGCCCACGAGATCTGCCACTGCGCTCTGCAGGCACTTCCCACGCCACTCGACGGGAGAACTGGCGCGCGCGCGGCGGTTCCCCCGCCCGCGTCCGCCGCGCGGCCGTGGGCGCGGTGGGCGCGCGGCACCGAACGCACCCGCAGACGTGGGCACGGCGCCGTCCTGCGTCGCCCCGCTGAGCCCCGGACACGCTCCGAGAGCGATCATGGCGCAGGCAGCGCAGACGGCCAGATCCCCGGCGAAGCCCTTGGACTCGCGCGGTCGGGCACTTTGCCCCGCCAATGCCCACGCCCGGCGAGAAACGGCACGCACAGCCGCGGCGGCCGCCACACGTCCGCGCCGAGAGCCCGTAGAGCGCGCAGTAAAACGACCTGGCAGTAACGACCGCGGCTGCACGATCGGCCAGCTCGGGCGCGTCAGGAGCTCCCGCGCGAACACATCCCGGTGCCGCCACCAGCGCGCCACCGCGATCTTCCTTCTCATCACCACTCTGCTCTCTGGCGGTGGTGGGCACACGCCGAAAGCAACGAGAACGCAGGCAGCGCGCAGGGCCGCATCATCTACGGTCCACGACGACGCGTCGAGCGCAGCCGCGGCGGCGCGAGGCGCGCGCGCCGGCGGCTCACTCGGGTCGACTGCACGAGCCAGACGAGACCCGCTCTGGCGACGCGTCGCGCAGCAAGAGGCGGGGCACGACGGGGAGCAACACACGGTGTGCAAGCTGCTTGTTCCGCCCGGCTGCCGCCTCCGTCCGCCGCGCCCACTCCGCCTCCCGCCGCACACACCGAGACCGCCTGCACGACGCGCGGCGCGCTTTCCGGACCCATTTCTGCTCGCGCTTCGTCGCCTCGAACGTGGAATCATCCACGACCTCCTCATGGACCACGTCGTGCTCTGCGCGCAAACACTCATCCACCCGCTATTCCCATGCGCGCGACTCCCCGACCGGCGCTGCGCGGCCGCCCAAGCGGCCCGCCCGGCGCGCCCCCGGCCACGCGCGCGCGCGGGCTCCCGGGAGCAGGGCGGGGCGCTGAGTGAGCCAGCGGCGCGGGGCGTTCGTCGTTCTCGTCGTCGCCGCCGCCGCCCTTCCTTTTGCCTTCCCCCCGTTCTCTTTGTCCTCTTTCATTCGCTTGCGTCTCTTCTCTTTTTTTTGCTCCTCCTGTTTTCTTCTTTCTTTTCCTCTCTGCTGTTTCTTCTCTCTTTTCTGCCTTCTCTCTCCCCCATCCCCCTTCGCCACTCTCGAGCAGTTTAACGACTGGCGCCGGCGGTGAGGCGTCAACCTGGTCACCGCCGGGAACCTCGTAGAGCTCCTTCCACGCGGCAGAGTGCTGATAGTCGAAAGAGAGAGCTTCTGGAGGCATTTCTCGAAAAACTTGAACATTCATTTTTTTCATGTCAAAATGAAGTTGGTTCCCCCAAGTGTTTTGATAGTATATGTGCGCCCACAGAGCTCATATTAAGACGCAGGGGCCCTCATAGTCGTTTACAAATGCGAAAAATCTGGTTTCTCAAAATAAATGGTCAAATATCTTTCAAATCTTGGCAAAACCACCCAAAAGTTGCCACATTGTCCGTTCTGCTTGGGTCGACCAACTGGGCGCCGGCGGTAAACCGTCAACCTTTCTTACCGCCGGGGGGCTCGCGGAGCTTCCTGACAATATAATGTCGGAAAAAATTGCAGAGAACAAATAGTTTAGCAGCTCAAGCGATTTCAGACCTCTCGATACAGCAGCCCAACGCCGATGCTTCTGGATTGTCTTCTCTACGAGCTCTGTAGCTCTCCTACAGCTCGAGTTACCTGCGTAAATCGACAGCACCTCTCAAGATGACTCGAACAATACGAATAGCTTTCCGGACCTAGCTCGAGTAGTGAATGCGACAGGCGGACGCGTCTGATGCCCCCGAATCGATTCCTGTGATTACCAGCCCTGCAGCCCCCCGCCACAGCCCGAGTTAAGTGCAGAAAACCAACAGCACCTCTCAGGATGACTCGAACAATACGAATAGTTTCGCGGACCTGGCTCGGGCAGCAGACCGTTCCAAGCTCTGGGTTCGACAGGCAGACGCGCCTGATGTCTTCAAATCGATTCCTGTGACCACCAGCACTGTAGCCCCCAGGACCTCTCAAGATGACTCCAACAATACGAATAGTTTCGCGATTCTAGATCGGGCAGCAGACCGAGTTCAGAGCTCTGGATTCAACACACAAGCGCGACTCATGAGTTTGAATCAGGATCTGTAAGTATCAGCTCTTTAGTTGTCTTATAGCTCGAGTTAAGTACAGAAAACCGAAAGCGCCTGTCAAGATAATTCGAATTATACGAATAGGTTTACGGACCTAGCTCGGCTAACAGACCGAGTTTAGACCTCTGGATGCAACAGAGGAACGCGCCTGATCAGTTTGAATCGATAGGGTGTGCTTACCAGCTCTTTAGCTGTCCTGTATCTCGAGTTAAGTCCAATATACCGAAAGCGCATATCAAGATGACTCGGAACGGCCGATCCCGCCTGGACGCTTTTTGGCAGTAAAATGTACCCGATCGAGCTGAGATCAAGATGACGAGCGGAAATGAGATCGAACATCGCGGGAAATGATACTAGAGCTCTGGCGAATGGTTGAATTTCGAGAACAAAATTTTCAAACGACCAAAAGTCAGCAAAAGGTCCGTCGAGATTTTTCTTGCCAACTAGCTCTCCAGCGCCCCGGAATGGCGCCGGCGGTGAACCGTAGACCTAGTCACCGCCGCGAACCTCGTAGAGCTCCTCACACTGGAATGAGTGCTGAGAGTCAGAGTAGAGTCATAAAATCGAGTTTATTTTTTCGAAAATCTTGATTTCTTAATTTGTTCGATCTCGGTAAGCATGAAGAAAGCGTCTAGAGCAAGACCTGAGGAACTCGAGAAAAGACGCCTTTCTGTTGTTATCCAACGTCGCTCCAAGTCTTTGAATAGTAATACTGCACCTATGCGCCTGGAAATTTTACTGGCGGGTGCCATAACCCAATACAGGTACGAGGAATCTGCTTCCTCGAAATGAATTATCAGATATCCTTCAATGTTTCGCAAACCACCCAAAAGTTATAACTTTGTCCTTTCTGGCCGGGTCGGCCAACTAGCTCCACCCAGCGCCGGAATTTCTCTAGCTCATCGATAAAGGTGGAATGTCCCAAATCTCAGCACTTGGTAGCGTCCAATTGGGAACCGGCTGCAAACCGTCAACCAGGTTACCGCCGGAACCCTCTTAGAGCTCTCTTCTCACACCGCGCTTCTAGGAACACATGAAGGAAGCTTTTGGAGCGAGAAGCGGAACAACTTTACTGTTTTTAAACGTAGGTTCTGCGAAATGTTTTCATAGCAATACTGCACCTACAGACCTGAAAAATTGACTGGCGAACGCGACATAGCCCACTACAGGTGCGAAAAATCTCCTTTCTTAAATAAATTGTGAAATATCTTTCAAATATTAGCAAAACTACCCAGAAGTTACCACTTTGTCCTTTCTGGCCGGGTCGACCAACTAGCTCCACCCCGCGCCGGAATTGCTCGAGCTCATCAATGCCGGAGAGCTCTACGAGGTAACCCCGGAGAGCAACTGGGACCCGGCGGTTAACCGTGAACCAGGCTACGGCCGGGACCCTCGTAGAGCTCTGAATGGACAATGAGATCCGAGATAACAACAGAAAAAAGCTTTTCAATACCAGCTTGAAAAATAAAGAAAAATCTTGTTTTCGGTCGTACACAATACTGATTCCCCGCAGTCTTTTGATCGATACAATCACGCTGGAGCCCTAAGGATTGCACTATTCAAAGCGCAATGATTCACTGCATAGAATAAAAAATCAAATTTTGAAAACGAATTTTAAAATCTCTGGCTATCTTCCAAGAACCGACCCCGGGTCATCACATTGTCCGTCGGGGCCGGGTCGGCCAACTAGCTCCAGCCCGCGCCGGAAT